TCCTTTGGAATCATGGTTCCTTTAAACTCAAGTTGATGTCGTGGCGAAATTTTTTTTCTTGCTCGGCGAAAACTGCAATTTTATGTTATTTTGTTTTTTAGAACGCTGCATTTTTCTTTTATAGCATTTGGTCCTAGGGTTTTTGGCTACTATTGAAGAAAAAGTTAGCTCATTTTTTAGGAGGAGGTTGACATTTTAGGAAATAGGGTCAGGAGAAGAAGATTGGAAGAATTTGGGTCTCCAGATTAGAGAAGTTTTCTTTTCCCTTTCTTCTTTTATGATTTTGAACTCTGATTTTGTTTTGTATTTGATGTTTATTTCCATTTTGAACACGAACTAACTCGTTTTTGGGTTAGAATTTTGATGGATCTTTGTTTACAATGATTTAATCTATAATATCTTGTTGTTTTTGGGTCCTATTGCATGGATGAAGTGTTTATCTTTGTTCTTGATGCATTTGATTATTGGGTTTTTGATTCAAATGAATGTTGAGCATGATGAGACTGAGAAGTGATTCATGTGTTAGCTTATTGAGATCAACACCATAGATTGAGCGAAAACTAGAGATAGACAAACGCTATTTATGAAATCTTTATAGGATTCCACATGCTTAAGGGACTTTGAACTATTGAATTTCAATTTGTACGGTGAGGAAGCTTAATAGGGATAAGTAGTAAATTATAGCCTGAGAAGGTATATTTTACAACCTAGGGAGTCCGATTTGTAATTCGTGCATGTGAACTTGAAGATAATAGGATTATTAGGTTGAATTGGAGTAACTTGGTGAAATCAAAACCCTAACCTCTCTTCTTGAATGAAATTCGTTGTTGAATTGCTTTTATTGTGTTAAATTTAGTTGTCTATTTTATTTTGTTTTAATTTACTTTTCAGTAGCTCTTGTAAATCCAACATTTTTGTGTTCTTCAATTAGTTATAAAATTAGGAAAATCGATATTTAGCACTAAATCCTCATGGGAACGATACTATTCATCATTTTATTACTTTTTGTGACTAGTGCACTTGCTACACATGCATGTTTGTGAAAGCACGCACCAAGTTTTTGGCATTGTTGCCGGGGATTAATTTTGCGTTAATATTGAGGTTTTCTAGTTTTTTTTATAAATTGAATTAATTTTTAGTTTTAATTATTTTAGTTTAATTTTTGTTTGCTTGTGATCTCATGCTCTTTTTCTTTCCTTGTTAGTTTATGCGAAAAGCAAGAAATCTTCTTGTGCTTCCTATTGATCCAAAGATTGAAAGAACCGTAGGAAGACTCATTAGAGAGAGAAGAGAAAAAGAGGCGAGAATCATTGAGATGGCTAAAAATAGAACCTTGAGGGAGTTTTCACTTCCACAAGTTGATGGGTGTAGTCCAAGCATAACGAGACCACCTTGAGGCAAATAACTTTGAGATTAAGTCTGCTATAATCCAGATGATTCAACAATCAGTATAGTTTGGGGGTGATCCACAAAAAGACCCTAATATGCACATAGCCAGCTTCTTGGAAATCTGTGACACATTCAAGCACAACGGGGTGACAGATGATGCTATTAGGTTGCAATTATTTCCATTATCATTGACAGATAAGGCAAAATGGTGGTTGCTGTCATTACCCATTGGAACCATCATGACATAGAATGATCTAGCACAAAAGTTCCTTTACAAGTATTGCCCACCAGCTTTTCTAACAAAGACAAGAAATGACATTACATCATCTATACAAGGCGACCATGAATCATTTTATGAAACATGGGTGAGATTCAAGGAAATGCTGAGGAAGTGTCCACTATTAGAGTAGATGCCCTAGAGCCAATCAATTATTGTATAATTGACTCTTTGTAATAATGTTCATTAATCAATAAAAGAAATTTTATTCTATGTCGCGTAAATCATTATTATTGCAATATGTATTGATATATGTCCTTAGAATAGTAGAACCGTGACGAGGGTATCAAGTGTTTCAAATCTTGATAGTGAGAACCCTATGAGCACATATGATGGCCATTCTAGAAACGTCCATAGCCCCAGTATTATTTTGAAGTAAGGGCACAGATAATACGGTAAGACTATCATAGTGTTGAACGACCCTGTCGAAAGGCAGTGACTGATCTCACTTGTCAAGGTTGTTTGGTGACAACTTGGTGCAACACATGGGTGCTTGCTGTAGGCGAATATACCGCAGCAAGTTCACTGGACTAACCCACCAGAGGATTCCATATGGATGGTAACCCTAGTGTCTATGGAACAAATCCTCTAACGAATGGTGGTGCATGTGATCCTTAGATTTGAGATCACCGGAGCGCCTTGTGCACCGATTGGTGTAGTTTGACACTAGCCTAACGCAGTTCTATTCAGAGCTATCAATACGGTGGTGATTGGCTACATCAAGGAGTGTATCAAGACTATGTTGGATAGACAGAGGATTCGTCACTCCCGGGTACGGGAGAAGTTATCTCACGGCACAATTTAGTATATGGCAATGACACTAAAACTGTGGCCACAATGGGATTGAGTTGTTGCTCCATCTAGTTTATAATATAGGTCATTGGTCCAGAAACTAAATACATAATATCGAGAGTAACCGAAGGTTGACACTATTTCTATGCCTTCGTCTCGTCAAGATAACGTATGATGAAAGGATTGAATTGTAAGGTAACCATATCGTTGACAGGTAGCTACTTTGCTGAATCTGAATCTATCGGGTGGCCATGATGCCTTGTAAGGGCCAATCTTTGTCTGTGTTTAGTGAGACGATTAATTTGTGTTAATCACGATATTATACACTGGCGGTATGATGAAGAGCCTATGGGTCACACACATAGAAGATAATTTAAGAGCCAGGAAGTCAGAAGGGTGTTTTTGTCTTTTTAGGCGAAAGGTATTTTGGTAATTTCATAGTGCAATTAAATTTGCTGGGGTTGTAGCCTTTATTTAATTTGTTAGAAAAATTAAATAAGTGTAATTAAGTTTAAATATGTGTTCTCATATATTTAAATAAATTATCATTATTGTTAAATGTTAATATATAGATTAAATATATATTAATTGATTTTTAATTGAGATAATGATGAATTAAAATAAATATCTAATTGGGAGTGTTTGGAAACATGTGGTGTTTGGGGTGGAGCCCAAGCCCATTCCATATGGGAATAGGGCAATTAAAAGATCACTATAAAAGAAAAGGTTTCATCGAAAAAGTCAAGATTATTCATTCATTACTTTTTCATTGAAAACAAAATCCTCCAGCCCCAAATACTCTCTCCCACGCCACTTTTAGTTTTGATTGAAAAATCAAATACTCCTCATTTCTTCTTTGTTTCTTAAGACTAAAGAGGATCTAGCAAATCCCTCTTTAGTTCCTTGCGATTATCTTCATGTAGACTACATCGGTTCGATCCTACACTTGTGTCGGTAGCAAAATACGTTCAGAGACAAAGTTGGAGGAGCCTACAAACCTGCGTATGATTCCTTAAACCTTGAAAAGATTTTTCTGCAGATTTAATGTATATATTGTATAAACTGTGATTTTTGTACTCGGATCTTGGTTCCAAGGAACGATCCATGTAGTTTATGTTTTTGTTTTCCGCTGTGTAACTGGGTCGTTCACTAACATCCATACCATTGTTTGCCTATTTGGATGCAAGTGCAAACGTTCTATTCGAGTTTGCTACCAAATGTTCAAACAATGGTAGATGCAGTAGCTAGGGGAGCTTTATAAAATAAGACACCTGTGGAAGCTCAAGAGTTACTTGAAGTTTTAGCGAGTAACAACTACCAAAGATCAGATGAGAGAATAGTGTCAAAGAAGTCCATGGGTATTCATGAAGTTGGCGCTTACATAGCCATTTTAGCCCAACTTGCTACACTTCAGAAACAAGTAGGAGGTACGTATGTTAATTCCATTCAAACACCTCATGTAACATGTGATTTTTGTGCAAGTAACCATGCAAGTTTTGACTGCCAAGTGGGCAACCTTTGCTTCATCCTTCTCATCATCAGAGCAAGTCAACTATTTGGCTGGGAATCAAAGATAGCAGAATAATCCATTCTCCAACACTTACAATCTTGGTTGGAGAAATCACCTAAACTTATCCTGGGTCAATCAAAACAATCAATTCAATCAAAGGACAGTGCCAAACCATCAACCAGGGGTGAACCATCAACCAATTGAGTAGAGAGTGTCAAAATTGGAGGACATGTTCGGGAAATTCATGCAAGAAACCACAGGTTTTATGAATGAGATGGGGTCAAATTTCAGAAATCAAGGAGCATCTATTTGAAACTTCGAGGTGCAATTGGGTCAAATTTCAAAAAAATTGAATGAGAGAGCTCAAGGTCCCTTACCAAGTAACACGGTGACAAATCTATGTGAACAAGCAAATGCCATAACTTTAAGAAGTGGAACAGTTTTAGATGAAGTTGAACCAAAAGGGAAGGATGAGAACCCACCAGAGAAGAAGGAAGAATCTGAGGAAGAAGTCGATGAAGTGATCATTGTTGAAGAGAAGCCAACAAGTCCTAGAAAAGAAGAACCAAAGAAGGAAAAGATGCTGAAGCCAAGGAAGGAAAAATTGCCATTTCCTGAAATACTACCAGAGTTGGCACACCACACTCCTCCAGTTCCTTTCCCTTAGAGATTAAAGAAGCAAAATCTGGATAAGTAGTTTATTAAATTTCTTGATGTTTTAAAAAAAAAAAAAACTGCATATTAACATTCCTTTTTTAGATGCCTTGCAGCATATATGCTAAGTTCGTGAAGGAAATTCTTTCAAACAAGAGGAAGCTAGAAGAGAAAGAAAGAGTGATGCTTACAGAGGAATGCAGCACCATTTTACAGAAGAAGTTACCACCAAAGCTCAAAGATCTAGGGAGTTTCACTATCCTTTGTGTTATAGGAGATGTTACATTTGATAGAGTTTTGTGTGACTTAGGTGCTAGCATAAATCTAATGCCTTTTTCTGTTTTTAGGAAATTGGGGATTGGTGAAGTGAAACCTACAATGGTTTCCTTGCAGCTCACAGATAGATCGATCAAGCATCCACGAGGTATTATTGAAGATGTGCTAGTCAAGGTGGATAAATTCATATTTCCTATGGATTTTATTGTATTGGATATGGAGGAAGACAAGGAGATACCTCTCATCTTAGGACGATCATTTCTTGCAACCGGAAGAGCCTTAACTAATGTGCAAGAGGGGAAGTTGATAATGAGGGTGCAAGATGAAGAAGTGACATTTAATGTCCTTGAGGCTCTAAAGTTCCCATTGAAGCAAGATTCATGTTTCAAAATTGATTCGGTGGATCAGTCGGCAGTTAAAACTTCTAAGAGAGATGATACTAAATTGCCATTTAAGGAATGCATGGTCAAGTCAAAGAAGATTGAAGATAAAGACTAATGTGCAAGAGGGGAAGTTGATAATGAGGGTGCAAGATGAAGAAGTGACATTTAATGTCCTTGAGGCTCTAAAGTTCCCATTGAAGCAAGATTCATGTTTCAAAATTGATTCGGTGGATCAGTCGGCAGTTAAAACTTCTAAGAGAGATGATACTAAATTGCCATTTAAGGAATGCATGGTCAAGTCAAAGAAGATTGAAGATAAAGACTAATGTGCAAGAGGGGAAGTTGATAATGAGGGTGCAAGATGAAGAAGTGACATTTAATGTCCTTGAGGCTCTAAAGTTCCCATTGAAGCAAGATTCATGTTTCAAAATTGATTCGGTGGATCAGTCGGCAGTTAAAACTTCTAAGAGAGATGATACTAAATTGCCATTTAAGGAATGCATGGTCAAGTCAAAGAAGATTGAAGATAAAGACTAATGTGCAAGAGGGGAAGTTGATAATGAGGGTGCAAGATGAAGAAGTGACATTTAATGTCCTTGAGGCTCTAAAGTTCCCATTGAAGCAAGATTCATGTTTCAAAATTGATTCGGTGGATCAGTCGGCAGTTAAAACTTCTAAGAGAGATGATACTAAATTTCCATTTAAGGAATGCATGGTCAAGTCAAAGAAGATTGAAGATAAAGATCATAAGCCAAAGATTTGTACAATATACCTAGACGAGCCACAATCGAGCAATTGTTTTTTCACAAGGAACAAAGTTGTAAAGATTTAGGTATAAGGTCATGCAAGTAGAAAGTGGGGCCAAAAAGGTGTAACGCCCACATGGAGGTATGTAATTTAATTTATGTTTTTATAGCCCTTAGTTGATTTTTGTTAAAGTTATTTTGAGAGAATGTGAAGAAAATGCCTTAAACTTGTATTAAGGGTAAAATGGTCTTTTCACTCAAAATTAGTTGAAATTGTGGGGAGTGAAAAGAGATAGAATTTAATGGAGAATGCAATAAAAATGAGGGCATTATGGTAATTGACTAAGGGACAAAGATGGAATTTCTAAAAAAGTGTAAGGGCAAAATGGGAAGTTATGTTTATAAAATAAATATTAAGGGTTAGTCTTACAAACCCCCTTATTTCTCTTCTTCCACCGCCACTTCCTTCTCCATTTTCTTCAACTTTTCACTCATTTTCCAAGGATTTTTAGGGCTTTTGAGTGGATTTTGACAAGGTTTTGATCCTAGGCAACAGAGGTAGAATTCTTGCTCTATATATAAGATTTACTTGAGAAGTTGAATTCTTATTAAGTTTTGCTTAGGGTTAAGAGGAAATTTGAGTCCAACGAGAGTAGGAGTTTAGTGGAGACTACTCAAGTATAAGGTAGTAAATCCAACTCAAGTTAAAGTTTAAGAAATCAATTGAGTAGAGATTTCTTAAGCATGTATATGTTATGATTGTTGGGAAATTGAATGAGATTGGTATTATTTATCTTGTGTTGGATATATTTGAGTATCAGAAGTCTTTTGATTGTATGATGGTAGATTGAAGTTTGGTTGAAATTGGAAGAGTTTAAGAAAGTTTTGGGAGTGTTTGCCGTGATAGGATTTGATGATACAAGAGAGTTTTACTCTCATTTTGGATGGTTTAGAAACAAATAGAATTATAGTTAAAGTAGATTTGTATATGCACATTTATTGTTTGATGAAAGCCTAAGAGAAGATGAGTATGAGTAGAAACCTTAATTTTATGCAACATTGCAATTTCATTCATGGAGGCATTTAAGTAAGAATTCTAAGCATGAGCCATCCATATGATATATTTGTATATATGTAGTACTTAAGAAGAATAAGAATTTAAGAATAAAACACTCTAAAATCAAGAGAAAGAAGGAAAAAGCACTAAAGAATTAAAGAAGGAAAAAGTGTTAAAGAAGAGAGAAGAATAGGTTGCTGTGATAGGGAACCGTGAGTGCTAAGAAGAAATTCCTACATGCACGCCACCTTAATTGAGTGGCCAAAGAAGAAAGAAAGAATTTGTACGGTCCGCAATAGTGCATGTAGATGAGGACTGTACTCACTCACACGGCCAAGGTTCCGAATCCATGCATCAACCGAGTCCGATCGGCAAATAATAAGAAAAGAAAGAATAAGAATAAGAAGAGAAAGAATAAGAAGAATAAGAATAAGAATAAGAAAGAACAAGAACGAAAAGAGAAGCTTGAGCAAGCAAGACAAGAAAGAAAAGAAAAGAATAGAAAGAAAAGAAAAGAAATAGAATAAGAAATAGAAAGAAGAAAGAAAAATGCATTTTTATGCATTATTGCATATGCATATCATTCATGTATATTACCATGAATTCCATCATGGTTAGAAAGAATAGAAAGAATAGAAAAAAAAAATAGAAAGAAAGAACAGAGAGAAGGAATGAACAGTGAGAATTAGGAAGAAAGAAAGAATAGTAAGAATTAGAAACAGAGAAAGAAAAGAGAAAGAACTAGGAACGAAAGAAAGAAGAAGAGAATTAAGTAAGGAAAGAACCAAAGAAGGAGAAGAGATAAGGGATTTACTTACTAAGCATTTTTGTGCTCACCCCGTTGTTTTCCCATGTTTTGCAGGAAATAAGTGAGCAGCGGTTGGAAGGAAGTTGATAAGAGGAGAGAATTGGCATTACTGTCCACCGTTGCTGAAGTTTTTGTACTTGTTATTTTGGTATATGTAAAGAATTATATTTTATAAGTAAAGAAAAATTTGGGCCCAACTATTTTTCATATGCTAAGTATATATGTTTTTATTGTATATGTTCTAAAGTATACTAGTAGAAAGCAGTCATTACAAAAGGAATGCTAACCGGAAGATCATTTTAACACCTTCCATTTCAAGAATGTTGATGGAAAGTTGAAGTTTCGAAAAGGTGCCTATAAGAATGCTTAGATCTTGAAAGGAATGACCAAAGGATGGCAATGGGTGGTTAAGTTCTCAATAAAGAGCTCATGTGCTAAGAATCATCAACAAGTGAAGCCTCATTCAAGGGAGAATGTTCAGGGTGTGATGTATGTGGATATTCTGGATTAATGAAGGACTTGAGAAAATCGAGCTTTCGATTATAAAAAGCGCTTCTTGGGAGGCAACCCAGGCGTTTTTCATTTTCTCTGATTTTATTTTGTTTTACATGTTGCTTATGCTTTATTTGATTTAGGAAGTAATTAATTTTTGTTTTTCTTTTGGTGTTTCAGGTGAAAAATTGAAGTTTGGCATGAAGAGAAAATTTCTAGACTTTTTCGTAGCAAGGAGTTGTCTTCGCCACAACAAGATATACACTACTATCGTAGTGCATAAAGGTTTTAAAATCTCACCGTGGCAAGAAAACATTTTTGCCGCAGTAGCATACGCATTGTGATTGTTATGCACAATTTTCCCAGAAGTTCGTTGTGGCAAGAAAATTTTTTTCGTCGCGGTATCGAGTAGGTCTGACGTGATATTGAAAGATTTCCAGAATTACGCTGCAGTGAAATTTCTTCTTCGCCGCAGCGAAGTCCATTTTCCATATAAACCTGCCTTTTCTCTCCTATTTTCACAAGAACTCAACCTAGCCTCCAAAGGGGAAAAAATTTCATCTTCAAATTCTGACCTTTTCCACTAAAATTTCATACACCATTCCACTCCATTACATCCCTAAACACTCAAACAACCTTCCTTTGAAACAAATTTGGTAAAATTTGGCAAATTTTGAAGAAATTTTGGAAACCCTAGGTTTTCCAAAAATTGGGGGTTTTGCGAATACGAGCAATTGAGGGTTAGACAATCTTGGGTGTGGTAAGATTTAGAGTTTTCATGCTTTTGTTTTTACAGATTTCATGGTTTGAATGCTTGATTTTGAGATTTATACATGAACTTGTGTTTTTTATTTAATTTGCGTGTTTGGAGTTGTAATTCATGTTTGGAGTGTAGGAAGTGTTGATTTTGAAATGATTTGTGTTGAGGAAGTTGGGTTTGTGATATCGAAGTTGTTGGATTGAATTTGGAATTTTGGTGATTTTGGGGGTTAATTGTGATTTTTGAATTGGAGATTTGATTGTTAGGTTGTGAGAAATGTTGCATTTGTGCTTGATTTGGGAGTTGAATTGTTGAAATTTTGTGTTGATTGAGCTTGGATTGTGTTGGGTCAAGAAAAAGGGTAGATTTTTATTGAATTGTGTTGAGAGAAAAATGCCACTTAAATCCACTTCGAAGGGTAAGGGCAAGCAAGTCGACAATAGGTTTGTGAATTCTAAGGCTAAACAGTGTCATGAAGTAGCAGTTCAGAAAAAGGACAAGGGATTTATTCTAGAGAGAGGGATGACCAGTATCTTTGCAGAAGATTGAGTAAAAGGAAGGAATTGGGTAACCTTTTTGGAAGAACCTAAGTGTCTCACCGTAGCACCCCTTGTACGAGAATTTTATGCTAACTTCCATATATGTGATCTTAGGAATGTGCATGTGAGGAATATTAGAGTTCTACTTAGTGCCCGGATAATCAATGAATTTTATGGAATTAGACCAATAGAACATCATGATTATCTGGAATTCAAGGCTAAGGACATCAATTTTGAGGATATAATCAAGGTAATAGCAAAGTCAGCGTTAAAGAAGAGAGAAGAATAGGTTGTTGTGATGGGGAACCGTGAGTGCTAAGAAGAAATTCCCACATACACGCCACCTTAATTGAGTGGCATAAGAAGAAGAAGAATTGTACGACCCGTAAAGAGTGTATGTGGATGAGGGTTGTACCAAGAAGAATTCCTACATGCACACCACCTTAATTGAGTGGCCTAAGAAGAAAGAAAGAATTTGTATGGTCCGCAAGAGTGCATGTAGATGAGGACTGTACTCACTCACACGGCCAAGGTTCTGAATCCATGCATCAACCAAGTCCGATAGGCAAATAATAAGAAAAGAAAGAATAAGAATAAGAATAAGAAAAGAAGGAATAAGAAAGAACAAGAACAAGAACAAGAAAGAAAAGAGAAGCTTGAGCAAGCAAGACAAGAAAGAAAAGAAAAGAATAGAAAGAACAGAAAAGAAATAG